CATGATATACTACTAGTATATACTCACATAATTTATGCTTCCCTTTGATCGGTTGTTTAATCAACAGCTCTTGAGGCGAGTGACATATAAACACAAACTGAGACTCACTCTCACCGTTTGGATAACTCGCGATTTTTCACATCATCACCAGTCAAATCAAATGTTGTCTCATACGGTATCCATTGATAATTTGAATCATTCTCAGTTTCTCACCAACTGCATGCAAGATATTGTAATTATAAAAGAAGGAATTGACCCTTTCACTTACAATAAAGATCATAAATGACTTTCTGTGCTCTATAAAAGTATTCTACAATTATATATTGCAACAAAAGGTCAAACTCACAGTAGGCTATTCCAGGGACTGTGGCTGGAAGACTTTTCCAGCAGAATCTGATAACTGCCAGTTCTTTCCATCTAGTGACCTCTCAATCTGGTCTGATTTTGTAAAGGAAGCTTGCAAAGCAAGGAAAACAGCAATGAAACTGCAAGAAATCATTCTTCATGCAAACGAACCACACCTACATACAAGCCACACCTTTATTAGCGTGAGCGTTACTCAATGTCCAAATTAATAAGTCTATACTATTTCAATTATAATTTTAATATAACTGATAATTATTTTATTGTCCACAATGATAGATAAGTTTGAAATGGTAGGGATCAATACATTAATGAATGCAAGCTTTCAAAATCAGTATTGTCTCTTTCAATCTCTGATGAAGACAAGTCCCCAAAACTAAAGTATTGGAATCTCTTCCTAGCCATAGATGACAAATGCTTGTACTGATCTCCATACCATTCCTTTAGAAAATATAAGAAATGAAAAGTAACAAAACTACAGGACTCAATCAATTCTATCAGGACATCTATACTGATGCTGGTTGGCTGTAGATCAGCAACGAAATGCTTCAAATGCTTTCTGCTATTGATAGCCAGGGCGGCAATAAATTCAGAAGTGATTAAAGTATCCCTGCAATTAAGCCAAAAATGAGTGAGGGTATTATACAGTGAAGGATCGACTGGTAGTATCAATTTCACAGCTCTAATAATAAT